AAAAACGTATTACTGTCTATTCTATCACAAAGGTACAAAGAGTGTTACAGAAAAAGATTTCTGGAGAATGATTTGGCAGGAAAAAGTGAGAACCATATTGATGGCAACCAATCTCATCGAACAAGGACGGGTAAGGATTGTCTAGTTATTTTCCTTACTGCCTTGACACGCTATGAAACGGGTATGACGTCATTTGTTTGTGAGTAAAAAGTGTCGTTCGCTTCATTATTCGCTGTGGAATTACATGTAATGTATTGTTTATTGGCAAATATGCAAATTAGGTTTAGTCGTTCAGCTCTGTTTCAAATAACGAAAAACGTGTATACTCAATCTGATTAAAATGATTTTTTATTTATATTTTTAATCTTTTAACTGTAAACGCCAAAAGATCCGAACAACCTACATAGAATATCCCGTTCGTGAGATCACAAAGATTAATAAACCAACCAATCAAAGGCTTTGTATACAGTGATTATGTCATTTTTGCCATGGCTGCATGCATTGCTCTCTCTGATTGGCTATTGAAGTTCGCGAGAGTTCGAGGTTGTCCAGATCTTTGGGTTTTTGCAATTAGACAATTACAAAAAAAAACATCAAAATTAAGGAAATAATTGAAACAAAATAATAAACTGACACAGCAACATATTTATAATTAAAAAAAGAAAAAAAAAGAAAAAATACAATTAGATATGATTTTGAACAGACTGATGTATAATAGTATGGCGGCACATTATGTTAGCAACTCCGAGTCGGTTGTCAAGCAAAATGGCAAAGTCGGATAAATAACATTATGTGTACTTAATTTTATTTTTATTAACAGGAAAAATGTACGCAGTATTGGCCTGAATTACACAAAACTTGCTCAAGTGGTGTGTTTATTGTGAAAAACCTCCACGAAGAACGCTTTGCTGATTCGGTTATTAGAACCTTCCACATTTCTGAGGTAATTACATACAATTATACATAACAAGCAGTAATTAAAAAACGGCGTAGTTCATGCTCGTTGGCGATACGTGTATATTCTTATTTTTAAATTCTCTGAATGAAAAGACTTGTCATATTTTCTCTCATTTTGTGAATTACTATTCCTAGCATGCTACATTTAAAGATACTGTAATATTGCTTACGTCACTATATGCTAATCAGATAGTTATAAACCTATCATTGCAGATTGATAAACCACGTGATGTTCGAGAGGTCAAACAGTTTCACTTCAGCGTGTGGCCCGATATGGGAGTGCCTAAATACCCGTCAGGTGTCTTGTCATTCTTACGTAGAGTGAAAGCCAGTAATCCCGCCAATGCTGGGCCCATGGTGATTCACTGTAGGTAAGGCTTGCTAGAAATGACTTAAATGATAAACCCGTCATCCCATATTTCTCCCACTGTAACTTAGGACTGGTATATGTGACGTCATTGGTAAAACACATCCTGATGATCGACCGTGAGTCAGGGTTTTTATAAATGACGTCACCGAAACAAAACAAAAACATCATGATGATTCTATATGACGTCATCAACAACAAACATAACAACCGACCATGGGTAAATAGCATGAAAGAAATTAATAAAGTTGAACAAATAATTGAAATGATCTCCTTGACATTTCTGATAGAGAAAGGCGATGTCGTTAACATTTAGTGCATAGTAATATTCTTCTGCTTATATTTTGGGATGCGAAAGTGTTACTGTTATTATTCCACTCATATACTGTGCAATTGTGGTGAAAGTTTAAAAAGTCTTCCATCAACAGACTTTATATTTCCTATCATAATATCTCTAAGATGTTTTTTGGGTTATGCAAATATGTAAGCATTAGCATGTTATGTAAACTTGCCCATCAGTTATTAAACACCACGTATATCGCTTTATGTATCTGAGTGTTCATTCTGAAATCACAATTATTAGAGCAGTTTGTACATGTACAATTTGTACATTAGCTGGCTGACTAATTGGTTTTCATGAAAAATAAATAACTTGTTCATACCTTTCAGCGCGGGCATTGGCAGAACCGGTACGTTCATAACCATAGACTCCATGCTAGAAATGGCCAAAGCAGAAAATCAAGTCGACATCTTCAACTTTGTTGATAAGTGTAGGGAGGCTAGAATGAACTTTGTACAAACCTCGGTAAGATAATCAATGATAGTTTAGAAAATTCTCTGATAATGACTTTCAACTTCCAACTCTATGGTAAAGCGTATTTCGTCGCCATCGTAAGCAGCAAACGATTAGAAATTAACTATGCAAAATATTTACACAATTACAATACAAATTTAGTCAAGTTACAAAAAAAATGGTTTGGTAGACACTATTATGCATGTAATTAGGGAATCGTTATTTGAAGGGGTGACATACAATTAGGGGGAAATGTGAATGCAAAAACTGGCGAGGTCTAATCTGCATTATTTAATCACCTGATATTTTTAGGATCAATATGCGTTCATATACACCGCTGTTTTGGAAGCTACGCTGTGCGGTAGTACGGAAATACCTTGTGGAGACCTGAGAATAAAGCTGGAGCAATTGAAGAAAAGAAAAGGAAAGAAAACCGGTCTACAACTGGAATTTGAAGTAAGTATTTTACAAAGTCTAAATATCGGTATGGATTTTTTTTGGAATAATATTGCAGATACAAATGTAGGACAGTTTTTGAGGGATGTATAACAAGAAGTGTATTGAACCTAATAAATCTAACGATGTTCGAGCCGAAAGGAAGATTATGTCATCTTAGCCATAATTTCACTCTTGTGAGTTCATACCATCGGGATACAAAAAATCAAATTTTCGAAATAAAAGAGTCCCAAATGTCATAAAAAAATTTACACGGTTTTTAATAGTAGGATTATTTCTACATATCTCAAAATCTTGCTCCATTGATGTCATAGGATGAGAAATCATATAATATTATTGTGAAAGCATTTTAAAAATATTATATAATTTAGTTTAGTTTTCAAGGTGATAATAGTTTCCCATTATATGCAATGAGACGTTCTCTCCCATGATGCATTGCAGTTATGTGCAGTTATATGCTCAAGAAAGCACATTTTTTCATCGTCTCAAACAGAGAACGACAATTTCATAAACATTTAACACATAATTGGAGGTGGAAAGGAAAATGATCTGGAAAACACTAAACATCTGGGAGCGAACGACCGAAATTTGAAAAATAAGAGTAATACTTACAGTCATTTAAGTGTAAAAGCTAATACATCGAATATTTATATACAATCACTGCTTTGTACCACCAGCACCAGAATTGTACTAGCATGTTATAAATTCAAAACACGATCTCATGTTTTGACAGAATCTTGCTAAGCTGTGTCCATTCCCTCACAAAGATGAGTTCAAGTCTGCGAGCGACCCGGACAATGCGCACAAGAACCGATACCCAGATGTTGTGCCACGTAAGTTTATATTACGAGTACATTTGTGAATCACGTGGACCGGGTGAGGCATATTGTCATAGACATGTAGCAAGAAATACGATTAAATTTATGTATATACAAGACAGAATATTTAAATTATGCATATACACTGTGACATCATTTGCTTACATGTTTTGCATCCAGTATACGAAAGACTGATAACAAATATTGTTCACTGATCAACACTTCCTCACGATCTGATGTGACATAAACATAATGTGTATTTAATAACAATAGTAAAAAACAACGCAATTATTTTATCCATAATTACAACGCTATATTATTTACCAAAAAAGTTGAACAAACTAAATCCAATAATCGTACAAAATAATGTACGATTGTTGCAAAGATTATTAACCAATAAATAATGTTCTCCTCGTGTTTTAACTGCAGTTGATAGATGCAGACCATTCTTGATGACACCAGCCAAGAAAGGCGACTACGCCAACTACATTAACGCAAGTTTCCTCACAGTGAGTAAATCTTGCCCCGTGGGATTTCTAAAACGAGGGGGGGGGGGCTCATTGAATGTTACAATTTTGCAGTTAGCAGAAGTCTTTTCCATACGTATTAGAATATTTAAACGACTGGAAATTCCTTACCAAAATCACAGTGCCTGATTGATCTGAGACTGTATTACGCACAATTATCTTCTATACAAACGCATAATGAACTTTTACTGAAAGATCAGGTAACTCTCTTAAAAACATGGTTATTTGCTAGTGATTAAATTTTCTAGCACAAATATTTGACGACTGTCTCTTTTTATTATCTCAATCGGACGATGACTATTAATCCCATTAAAACAATATTGTTGGAAATTTGAAATGTTGCGGGTCATAACTTCATTAGACGTACTGTAGGATTTCAGCATATAACGTACCGTAGAATATAGAATAACTATTTCTATCGGCAGTAATTTGTATATGTGTCTGCCAAAATTAGAAATATCAGCGATTGCATGCTAATAATGTTTATCCGTAGGCGTATACACACGAAGATGCATTCATAGCCACCCAGATGCCATACCCTCATACTGTGGTAGACTTCTGGAGAATGGTGTACGACTGGAAATCTCTGACAATTGTTATGTTGAACGATATGACGGAAGAAATGGTAGGTATTGGGCACACGAGATACACTGGTGTGTCATAGAGTTTAAACTGAAATGGCCGACCAGATCTCGTTGACAGTGAGAGAGCCACGAGACTTGGTTTTGTTCCTTGAAAAGTCTTCATTTTGAGGATCAAAGGTAAATAGCTCTCACGCACTTAACGACATCTTGCCGGTCATATGCGTCTATGTATATTGGTAAAAGTCATTCACTTACTAGGTAGGACACTCACATGATTGATATATTGAATGGCGATAACCCTGATAATAACCCCTAACAACGTACTCATCTCAGTAAATAAGTACAAATATGCAATGAATGAGTATATACAAATACAATGTCCTGTATCTGTTTTGATTCTTTCAGAAAGCCGGACAATACTGGCCAGATGGCGGATCCGTTCAGCACGGTCCACTACGCGTTGAAGTTATGTCCCTGGTACAACACGGCGATATTTTGGAGAGAAAAATAAGCTTGCAGCACGTTGACAAAGTGGTAAGATATTATTATTGCACTATAACCAAATACATTATGGATTAAGAACGAGGCACACAGGAGTTTCTTAAGAGTTTATACCGTAACCCATATCAGAGGCTACCAACAAAATTCCCCCTATACCTAAATATCGGAAATGTCTTTTTTTCATTTTTTTAAAGTTAGACTATCAAATCAACAGATATAAAGAAAACCTGAAGAGCAAATATTTGGAAAATAATTTATAAATATTTCACATAAACCTGTTTTTACTTATATTTGTACGTACACGTACATTTAATGTATTCTGTACAACCACATCATTGGTTTGCTTGTACTTTGTTCCAGGGAAAAGAGAATCCCCGCTTCATAACTCAGTTTCAAGTAATTAACTGGCCCGATAACCACAAAATCCCTGGATCATTTAATGTGATAATTAACATTATGAATATGGTAAAAACCTGGCAAAAGACAACAGGCGATACACCGGTAACTGTACAGTGCAGGTCAGTATGGATGTACAGATGTACTCTCTCCACTTTTCTGCCTGCTACCCTATACTACTAGTATAACTCCCATTACATCACTGTTTCCACTCATGCAAAATAAAATACTGCCGAGGATAATTCGAACAAATACCACTGTCCCCAAATTAACGCTTGGATATTCAGATTTAATAATCATATGGCTTAAACATTCCTATTTCAGTCTTTTACTTAAAAAGAAGATGTGTATTTTTTCAAACTCTTGTTCGCAGAATACATTTCAATAAATTTTGAATTGTAAATTGTTTTTTTCGGCTGAAACATAACATACTGACCAGTCTGATTAAAATGAAATCTATTTTGCTTTTTTTCCCCATTTTTTTCCATTTTAAATATTATTTTGATTTGGTATGTGTATAACTTTCCTTATATATTTTATTATATTTCCAGATTTTAATAGTCTGATCGCATAGGAAATCTCGTTCAACTCTCGCAAAAATATAATAAGCAATCACAGAAAGCTGTATAGAGACAATATTAAACTTAGAGGCTTGCGCACAAATTGCATAATCACTGCCTACTAGGCCACCTCTGGTTGTTTAATCTGATTATTTAAGATCTTACGAAATTTTCTATTGAGTTTGCTCAAATCTTTGGGCGTTTGTAGTCAAAAAATTAAAAAAAAATTCAGAGAAATTTGTTTTAATAAATGACTAAAATAAAAAGTAAAACTCAAAAGAATGAAAATAAAAGAAGAATAACCAAATAACGTTTGATTTTAATCAGAATACACACTGACTTTGTCCACAATGCGCCTTCACGCAGAGTAAATAAAATTGTTAAAGTGTAAGCTTCGTAAAACCCTTACTATAATGAAACACGCAATGAAAAGAAACTGGAAAATGTTTCATTCGTATTCTGTGCATGGCGTACGTAGTATGACGTTTTAAATGTGTTAAAATACTGACCAAGGGTATTAACACATTGTATTTGTATTCCACTTATTCAGTAATGGAATTGGAAGGTCCGGTATATTTTGTACTCTAGTCGCTGTGTGTGAGCGGATCAATGTAGAGCAAACGGTCGACGTCTTCCAAGCTGTTAAGACTTTACGACTTAATCGACCTGGAATGGTGGAAACCTTGGTAAGTATGGATTCTTACAATGTATTGTCTGGTCAACAATTAAAAGTACATGTTTCATTTATCCATATCGAATTTTCTGACCGGATCTGGCTTGAAATGTTCTTTTTTATATGTTATTGACTTTGTTACTATACCGTTGCCAATTGTTTTTCAAACAGGCGCAGTACACGTACTGTTATGACGCCACACTCAACTATCTGGATCAATTTGCCACTTATCAGAACTTTATGACTTAGGTGAGTGAAATACTAGTAAATCTGTACACGTTCCCATGAATCTTGATAAAATACGTCTCATAAGCGCTTCGTCGATAGAGAGCGCGACTCATTGTAAGGATGAAAACTACTGTAAAATACTTTATTTTCGCTATTTTCGCTGAAGGGATGATTCCGTGAAAATAAAATCCAGCGAATATACTTTTTTTCCTATATTTCACATTAAATTCATCAAAAATCAGTGAAAATAAATTCCAAGCAAAACGTTCAAAAAGCCTTTTCAGCGAAAATTAATTCCAGCGAAAATAAAATATTCCATAGTATTCACGTAATTCACAAGCGTGATATTCTTGTCTTGACAGGCACTGTCGTACCATGGAAGCGGTATTGGCGACGTTCTACTTTGTGGATACAATGTAATTTTAACACACAACTCACCAAATAAACCTTTGATATACGGTGACTTCGATTTTTTGCAAGATAATGTGTGTGGGTGCAACACCGAGCCCACGCGGACACGAATCAAATTACACCACGGTTACTAGAAGTAACTAGAAGAATATTTTGTGAAAATAATTGTATGTTGATACATTCTGACATGAAATATTTACTTTGTTCGTACAGTTTTACTTTTAGTTTTACTTGTCACACTCGCGCATCAACCGGATTTTACACGATTTTATTATACAATGTTATTCAGGTTCAGGTTTTCAATTCAACATATACAGAAATAAACTACAGCAATAACTATGTCCAAATAAGTGGCAATGCTTTCATAATAAAAAATGTGGTATGAATATAATTTATTACAAATGAACATTGATGCTTTTGAAAAAAAAAATATTCAACAGAAAATTATTGATGCAGATATATATATGGTATAATACACATTTAGCCAAATACATGGAATGGTTAGAATTGTAATTTAATTCTCTATCAATTCTGAAAGTATACACAGTTTAAATAATTCGTTTCACAAATTCCCATGTAATTAAAACTTTAACTGGAAAAAACATGACTATTTCTGACTATTTACATTCACTATATCTGCAACCATAGTATTATCTTAAAATACTTTGATAAATTCACAGTAAGTCATAACTTTCAAGGATTCCAGCTTTAAATATTGTGGTCATTATAGAAAATGATGTCAGTTGGTATGGCAACAAATCCTGTAATTTTGGAATGGTGAAGCTAGCCTGTACTTGACAGAAACAAGGTCATGGTTTTTAATCACAAAATCAAATGTAATTTCCATTGTAACCACTTACTTTAAGTGTAATACACAACGTGAATGGAACTTTAATACACAGACACATGGTCGCGTCTGTAAAATAGTATCCAAGATTTTAACGAGCAACATAATCTACCGTCCAATGCGGATTGCATTTATTCATTTGATCAAGAATTCTTGAATGTTTGTACGAGGTGTTTTCAGATTTGTGGCAAATAAGATTATACATTGTGAAAGTATTTGTTTTATTATTGTTTTAATTTACCTGTATTACAAAAATACATATAACCAGGTTACAACTGTCAATGTGTTTTTTGAATTGAATAAACTCAAAATGTGAAACAATCTTACCCAATTTAAATCAACGAAGTCAGATTACTTTGAAAATGGTGGTGGTGGCGGTGTGCGTGCGTGCGTGTGTTTGTATAGAAGTTTATATAGAAGTAGAGGTGGAGCCAGTGGTCCAGCATAGGTTTAGTAAAGGGGGAAGGTGTGGTTCAATTTATATTAACATCAATATACTTGTACCATACCTTCGCAAACATTTCTATGTTCAGTCACGGGATATTCAACTTTTATTTAATTAAACTTAATTAAAACGCAATTCTACGTTAAATTGCATTGTAATTGAGTTTAATTAAACTCCAATTAAAACGCAACCCTATATAGGACCGCGTTTTAATCGAGTTCATATCGCAACTATATTAAAAGTTAATTCAACTGTATTAAAAGTCAATCCAATGTGTGACGTCACAACTAAGGTGACACCTGAATGTGTGTGTGTTGGAAGGGAGGGGGGGGGGGGCTGGGTCGCAGGGATTTTGCCAACATGGATGATGAGTTAGAAATACATAATTGGCTGTTTTATTGACGTGAAGTTTAACTTACACTTGAGAGATATCAAGGAAAAGTCTAAACATAGGAACCTCTAAATTCGACTCAAATTGTTAGATTTCTATCAGACTGTATTAAAACTGAGATGATCACCAGGATATTTCTACTTAACACAGCGATGGAAAGAATCAACGCCAGTCGATATTGAAGTGAATATTTCTCATATAATTATAGTTATAATTAGTTAATTGAACATTTCGACAAATTAAAAAGAAAGTATCAGCAAGGTTCACCCATGGTACCGGTAAGTTGG